GAATTATATCATATTATATCATTTTTTACTGAACTATGTTCTCTTGTATTATATTATATTGCATCATACTATGTTATATTGAATTATATGAAATTATGATATTAGATTGTATGCATATTATATCACATTATAGTACATTATGTTACATTACAGTATATTAAGATATATTATATTATATTACATTACATTATATTGCATTATGTACATAATATAACATAAAATAGTATACTACAATAGAATAGAATATAGTCTAAAATGTTATGCTATAACATATTCTATTCTAATCTGTTCTAATGTAATATATAATGAAATAGAACATAATGTTTTATAATATACTGTATTATGTTATAAGTTATAATTTCTTTGTTTTATGTTATATTTTATTGTAGCACGCGATGTTATGTTATAGTACATTCCAGTATACTATCTTATGTTATATTATCTCTGCGAGCGAAGCCGCCTCCCGGAGCAAGGAGGGAGGTCGGCAGGCGGCTAGGGACCTCACTTTAGGCACTTTTTCGGGTCACTCTTCGGAGTCAAGAGAGACGCACGGAGGTACCCATTTTAAGTCTAGGGCTCCGGATTTAGAGCTGAGGGCTTTTGTATTTAGAGTTTAAGGCTTGGGCTTTAGACGATTTGGAGTTTAGGGCCGAGGGCTTTGGCAGCACAATTACCCTGAGCTCCACGCCTGTGCACCTCCACATCCAGTAGGTTGATGGCCAATAGGGCGTAAGGCTTAGAGTTAGGGGTAGTAGATTCTCACTCCTCCTCAGACTTTGGCATGCGTAACCCTGCCAATAGGTGTTCCTTCAAAGCCCCTGGGCCATGCACCCTCGCCGCATGGCAGGTGCCACCTGGCTCGTTCTGGGCTTGTGGGGTTTTGGAGTTTGGGCAAGCATCGGCTGTAAGACGTCGGCTTTTGGCTCTGTGATTTGGGGCTAGGAAAATGCCTGGTGTAGATAGCAACTTTGATGTATCAGGGTCTTCCTGCCTTCAAAAAGATCAGGAGTTTCGAATCTTTCCGGCAAGCATTTTTTGAATCAGTCCAGTCAATTGCTCCTTTGCGCAGCCATGCATGGCTCTGAATGTTCAGAAAAGTTTGCTCACATCGGAGATTCAGACCTTACAACATGTATGTGTAAGTATGTGCATATATACATATAGAGAGAGAGAGA